GAGAGCTGCGGCCGCAGGGGCTGTCTGCGCGCTCTGGCCCCCGCCGCACTCCGCGCTCCGGAGCCACTGCCACCGCACCCGAGCCGCCTACACCCGGCTCAGCTCTCGTCGGTCTCCCAACCCTGCAGCTCGGGAGCTCTTGGGAACTCTGCGCCCGGTTCCCGGACTCCACGTGCCCCGCGGTCCCCGATTGTCCATAGTCCCCATGGCCACCCAGAGGGGCGAGCTAGGAGACGCCTGAGGAAGCCCAGACGGTGCCCGTCCACGGCCCTGCGGGCTGCACGGCGGGAGTCTGCACGGAGCTATGCTGAGGCCGCGGGGTGCGGAGGAAGCCGCGCAGCTCGCCCCTCGGCGTGCCCGCGTCCTGGTCCCCGCATCCAGACCCACGGCCCCCGACGTGTCTCCGGCTTCCACCCGCCTGAATCTTGCCTGCCTGCTACTGCTGCTGCTGCTGACTCTGCCGGCCCGTGTTGACACATCCTGGTGGTGAGTGTGGCTCTCAGGGCGGTTAGGCTCAGGGAACGAATGTCCTGCTGCAGACACCGGCTGCTCAAGCACCAGGTAGTTGCCTGGATGGAACCGGAGACGATCTGGGCAGGACAGTCCCAGAAGTCTCCAGTGGCTGGTGAGGGGATGGAGGGAATAAGGCGCTGGAGAGAGGAGCTCTGAGCATCTGGAGCGAGGGAGCTGGTGGTTGAAGACCCCTAGACAGCTATGATGTGCCCCCTGTGTTTCTCCTCAAGACCCTGGCACGGAGGCTACTATCTGATTCTCTCTCAGCGTTGGTTCGAGGAGCCAGTCTCCTCTCCACATCCTGCAGTGACTGCTCCACGCCGTCCACAGTCGCTGCCTTCAAAAAGCCTTCGACCACCTAAGGTTTCCCCAGGGGATGTGGAGTTGGGGGCAGCTGGCTGGGACCCACATTCCTCTGCTAGTCTAGGCCACACAACGAGGCAGTAGTATCCACAGCAAGGCTTAGAAGTGAAATTGAGGCACAAACTATTCCCTTTCCCCTTAATTCCCACAATTGAAACCGATTAAACACTTGGGGTTGCATAACCCAGGCATTTGTCATCAGCCTCGACTTTGAGGGTGTAATTTTGAACACTGATGTCCATTTTTGCTTTCCTGCCCCAGATGACCCAACCTTCCACCTCTCCCCTCCAAGCCCCAGAGACTTCTAAAGTCTCAAGAGTTTTGAGAGCTTCTCTTCAGATCTCTTGTAGGCCTTGGTCTTCAGACACTTCCAAAAGGCAGATGAGGCAAAAGGTGTCCAGGATTCACTGGGTGCCTGCTGTGTTCTTTGTAGAATTCCCTACCCAGCTCCAAGGCTCCTCCAGCCCCGCAATGACACATCCTCTTTCCAGAAAGGGCAAAGTAAGGGGGTAGAATTGGACAGAAGGATTCAGTCCCCTCAGCTCTTGCCTCCTCACCCCTCCGATCAAACTGGCTTCTTGGGCTGGACTCGTGCCCCTTTCTAGCAGACAGTGCTCCCCTTTCCCCTTGCTCTGCTCCTCCCTCGAAAGGAAGCACCCCCATTCCACCCACCCCCACCTCCCACAAAGTGAGGTCTCTCCTCTTGCACCCTGTGGCTTTTCTCCTCTAGACTAGGAATCCGGGCTGAAAGGGTGAGGGGTAGCTGGCTGAGGGGCAAGCCGGCTCTGGCTGCAGATTCCTATCATTTCAAGATGCTGCGCTCTCCTTCCCCACCCCCACCCCTGTTTTCCTGTTAAAGAAAAAAATCTTTCTTTTGGATCTTTTTTATCTCTGCAGTGTTGGGGAAGGCAAGGAGGGGGGTTCGGATGGGGAAACAGAGAGGCCTATATCTTACATCTGGCTTGAAACATTCCTTTAGAAGGGGAAAGGGAAAGAAAGAAGATGGGGCAGGGGAGCCTTTTAGTGACCAGAGCGAGATCACCCCCACCCCTCCCCAGCCTTAACCTTTCACTGAGGGCTTACACCTTCAGGGTCCCTGTGGAGAAAGCACAGAAGCACCAAAGATGGGTACCCAGTGCCCATCTTTATCTGGCTCACTCGGTAACTGCCTTTTTGAAACACTTGAGACAATCCTGGTGACCTATGGATGCTTAGATGAGGAAGTGACCCTCTGGACATCTCTGCATCCTGGTGTGGTTCCTACAGACGCACCTGCAGCTCTTCTAGTTCCCGTTTCCCCCCTTGACTACTATTTTCCCTGTCCCATTTTCTTTCTCCTTCCCTCCTAGAGTGGCTCATGTTAAAGACGCTGCAAAGGCTACTACATGGAAGAGTTGGGGAGGGAGGCAGGTGACAGTGGGTCTGAGTGGCTCTTCTGTTCATGTAGACAGCATCAGGGCAGGATCAGTGTAGGGGCAGAGCTCATTCCCACCTCCTCGCCCTCATCTTGACACAGCTATAGCCAAAAGTGTCTGTCTCAGTGGCCATCACTTGTAGGAGGAGGAAGCCTGAATTCCGAGGGCAGGTCTGGCGCCCAGGATGATTATCTCAAGCTCAGCAAGGCTAGTACTATGTACAGTCCCTGGAGGAGATGGACATCTGTTGACTCATAGTGTCTGTGTTTTACATCAGAGCAGAGGGCCATCCCTGTGACTTACAGTCTGATCCTCACAGCCTAGGATTTCCCCCCTTCCTCTCCAATAACCCCTCTGTCTCTTTCTTTAACTTGAAGAAGATACAGATAGTTTCTTCTTAGTCTATGATAAGAAATGTGGAGACTTGCAAGAGCTAGGTGTATTCTTGGTCTCATAAAGAGAGCATAGAGCAGGGTCATATCAGTACTACCGTTACTAAGCACACACCCTGTCCTGAGTCTTTACTAAACTGCAGGCTCCATAGCAAATGGCCTTGTTAAGCACCATCTTTATTCTCCAGGATAAGTCTGAGGTAGCTACTGTTATAATCCCTGTTTCACCAATGAAGAGATTGAGAGATAGGGGCAAACGAGAAAACAAAACAAAACAAACTTGCTGGGTATGGTGGCACACACCTTTAATCCCAGCACTTGAGAGGCAGAGGCAGATCTTGGTGTGTTCCAGGCCTGCCTCATCTATGTAGCAAATTTTAGGTCGGCCAGGACTACAAAGTGAGACCCTATCTCAAAAATAAGAAAAAAAACTGCTTATTTTTACATCAGTTTTGGAGCTTTATGGTTTTATTTCTAATCAAACATGTGTGCCTCTCTTGCTCCTAGAATAAAAAAATGGATTTTGCCTGGGTATGATGATACACTTTTGTAATACCACTACTCGGAGGCTGAGGCTAGGGGATCAAAACTTTGAGGCCATCCTTGGATATATAATGAGACTCTGCCTCAAACAAACAAACAAACAAACAAACAAACAAAACAACTACAAAAGCCCCTCGAGTTTGAAGTCAGATGGCTTCCCTTATTCTGGTTCTCCCCCCAAGTGTCCCTTGACAGTGGGATTTCCATCAATATTCCTGAACCCAGAATGTAGAGATTTCCCTAGGCCACATCCTGTGGCGTCCTCTTGGTGGTTTGCTGTTGTTTTTGAGACAGCGGCTCACTATGCATCCCTGCTGCCCTGGAACTCTACACAGAGCTTCAAACTCAGAGATCTGCCAGTCTCTGCCCTCTGAGTGCTGAGATTAAAGCTGTGAATCGCCACTCCCAGCTAAATTCTAAGGTTTATGCCAGTGGATAAACACAAAAGGAGGGGGTGGAGATCCCTGGCTCCATTAGAGGGACAGAAGCAGAATGTCTGCAAAAGGGTAGACAGTGTTGACAAGAACCAAACTAACTCTATTTCAAGAGCTGGTGACTGGTTAGGGGGAGATGGAAGCTGGGGATAATGAGAGCAAGCCGGTGTTTCTCCACTAGCTACTAAGCGCCTACTGTGCGCTAGAGGCATTTCTCAGCACTGGGGATGCTGATGAGGATTCCGTTGACCTGGAGGCAGAGTCTAAGACTCCCAAGAAGCAAGAGGCTAGTGGAGGATCTGAGTGACTTTGGTCAAAAGCAGGTGAAGAGAGTGCTCTGATGCAGAGGCGGGGAAGGAAGTGAAGAAGTAATTTCTGAAATGGAAAACAGGAAGTCAGGACTGAGGCATCCTCCCTAGATGATGAGCTGAGGGATGGCATGAGGTCTTTGTGCCCCTAACAGCTAAGCTCAGTGACTGGCCCACGGCAGGCATTGTGCAAGCATGTGTTGAGCTGAGGGAAGGCATTGTGCAGGCATGTACACAGTAGGCATCGTGCGAGCATGTGTTGAGCTGAGGGAAGGCATTGTGCAGGCATGTACACAGTAGGCATCGTGCGAGCATGTGTTGAGCTGAGGGAAGGCATTGTGCAGGCATGCACACAGTAGGCATCGTGCGAGCATGTGTTGAGCTGAGGGAGATGCGTTCAGGTTCAGGCTCAGTATTATTGGCGGTTCCCACACTTGACTACAAGAGGCAAACCTCATGAAGGGTCTTGAAGTAGTTACTTAGGAAGTAAGCAGGGTAATAGGAAAGTCTAATTACCTTCCCATCTTAGATACTGAACAGATGTCCCATGCCCATTGAGGATGCAATACGAAGGATCAATGTGGGCTACAGCAGAATGGATTAAAGTCAGACCACAGGAAGGCTCTTTTTGCCAGAGTTTGGCTTGCCCCACTCCAGACTGTCTATGAGGGCAGGATCATTGGTCTCCCATTCCTATCCACCCTCCTTCCTCCAAGCCCCAGATAAAAAAACAAACACCCATTGCCTAGATCAGTAATCTGGGGCTGAGCTGGGGAAGCAGACCGGTGGTGAGACAGGGACGAGCTCCAACTCTGATGGTTTCAGTACTACAAACAAAGCACCAGGGCGGTGGGCGGAACGCAGAGCGTGCGTCAGGCAGGCCTTTCCGGCCTGGCCCAGCCTGTGCTGTTTATTTTGTTTGTTCCTGGAAGCTGCTGCCCTGATGGACAGTGCTGGGGATGCTGAGTCCATGGGATTTGTTCTTAGAGGAACAGCCCTCTAGCCCTTCGCTCGCTAGGGACAGATGGGGCTCATCACCCCTGCTGAGTTCCCCAAGAGGCAAATGGCAACCCTCCTTGTGTTTGCCTGAGTTCCTGTCACTGGTGGTGATCTAGTCTGTGGGTGAGGGCCGGCTGTGGGAATGCAGGGTGGGGGTAGGGCTCAGGGCTGGCTGCCTTCCTTTCTCCCCACTCACGTCTAGGCCCACTTTGGGGACATTCCCAAACCACTGGCTCATTCATAGTTCAGACCAAAGTTTTCTGTTTGCAGTAGCAACTAATGGCTACAGCTCCCACCTGTTCCCAACAGGAAAGCGTGGAATTCCATTTCAAGTGTTGGCACAAGAGAATAGAACATGCTGGGAAGACCGAAGGAAGCGCTATGTGGAGGGTGCGCTGGGGGGGAAAGGGGAGCAGAAAGGAGAGAAGCTAAGCTGCAGAAAGGGAGGGAATGAGTCCCATTTCTTCGGGGGACTTGTTGAGGACGAAGGGTGATAGCCTCCTGTTTTCTCTCCAGAATCTGTTGAGGTCATGGTGGAGTCCATGGGTAAGATTGTTTGAAAGGAAAGGTAATACTGCCTTGGACAGTGGCTTTTGTTTTTGTTCGGGTTTCTCTGTAGCTTTGGAGCCTGTCTTGGAACTAGCTCTTGTAGACCAGGTTGGCCTCGAACTCACAGAGATCTGTCTGCCTCTGTCTCCCGAGTGCTGGGATTAAAGGCGTGCGCCACCACCGCCCAGCACCTAGAGCAGTTTTGAGTGATGCTGGCAGTCCACCGGTCCTTCAGTGGCCATCTCGCTTGACCTTGTAAATTATTCAGACTAGAGATTATACCACACTGTTTATTTCTTTAAAGAGATAGGGTCTCTATATAGCCTTGCCTAGAACTCTACGTAGACTAGGCTGCCCTGGAGCTCTGTGAGTTCTGCTTGTTGTCTCTGTGTCCTGAGTGCTGGGATTGCAGGTGTGTGGCATCCTGCCTGCTGAACTCTTACTACTTTGTCCTGTTTGGGCTTCCCGCTGCTGCAAACAGCTCTTTGTCCTCAAAGGTCTTCCCTGGACCTTGTGCCTTATAGTTTGGGAAAAGTGATTTTAAAAGCTTCATTGAAGAAAGGCTTTAGGGCCTGGGAGTGAAGGGAGTGAGGAGGAGGGTAAAAGATGGAATCTTGCTTTGTAGCCTTGGGATTGGAAGTGAGGGTTTTTTTTTGTTTAGCCACACGGGCCAAAGCTGTGAGCATTACTCAGAACTACCCATGGTGCCTTTCCCAGCCCCCCTTCTCTCCATCCTGCTGTGGCCAAGCTATCTCCTAGACCAGCCACTTGTGCATGTTAAGAGAGTTGTCTCCGATTCTCATTTTGTTAGTTTATTTTTCTGCGAGGATCTTAATGTTTATTAAATAAACAGGCAGTGGGTTTGTATGACATGCCCACAGCTTCTGTGTATATGACACATGCCTGGTCTGTGTTTTAGAAGTGTCTGTTACTTTGTTTGGCTGGGGAACTGGTAATGGTGGGAGACCACTCAATTACTCTTTCTGCAACCGTGTAGCTTTTTTTTTTTTTTGTCAGAGATTGTGGGTAATGGTTCTCCCCATCAGCCTCAGAGAATGTCTTGGGAAGGAAAGGAATGCCTCTAAGGTCTAGATACCAAATAATCCCCCTCTTTATCCCTCTGCTGATGTCCGTCCCCTTTGGAAAGCTATGACAAGCTGTCTCCACTTTACAGGTACATAGGGGCACTGGGAGCCCGAGTGATCTGTGACAACATCCCTGGTTTGGTGAGCCGGCAGCGGCAGCTGTGCCAGCGCTACCCAGACATCATGCGTTCAGTGGGTGAAGGTGCCCGAGAATGGATCCGAGAGTGTCAGCACCAGTTCCGCCATCACCGCTGGAATTGCACCACACTGGACCGGGACCACACTGTCTTTGGCCGTGTCATGCTTAGAAGTAGGGTCCTCTTCCATGTTTCCTCCTCCCTTCCTTTCCTTCGCTTGGGGTGGTGAGTTAGAAGGGTAGGCATGATCCCCTTCATTTTCCTACAAACTACCTCATAATCTAAGGAACGGTTGTGGGAAACCCGGGAAACAGGAACAGCTGCTCACCCTAGAATTGTAAGCCAGGGCCCCTCTCAACCTAAGTGCTTTGAGATGGTGGGTCAAGGTAAGCATTCTCCGATACTTCCATCTTTCTCCTTCCGTTCTCTGGCCTCCCCATATCCAAGTCAGGCAGGCATCCATGCACTATACAACTAAAGACTAGGACCCAGTCCTCTGCTTCTTAGCACCACGGTCACTAGTGTCACCCTGTCACCCTAACAGTCCCTCCCAGCATTATAGTAATGAGAACAAGAGATAAACAGAAAGGTCATGTGTAAATATTCCAAGCGCTAGTGGCTTACCTCCAGTTCAGCAGAGCTGGACAGCAAAAGAGGAGAAAGGGGATGAGACAGGACTCCGAAGAGGAAGGAGAACTGGGGATGACGAACATTTGTCCCTAAGGTCAAGGAGCGGACCAGAGCAGGCTAAAGTCAGGATGTTTCTCTGAATAGGCTGACCCCCTGGGTAGGGGTCGACATCATGGGGGAACTGTCCAGCAGAGGGGGCCTGAAAACCCTGGAATGTTGACCAAGGCAGATGGAGCTGCATCAGGACTCCCCCCCCCCCCCCCCAGTGTGTGTGGTGGAGGAGCGGAAGACACGGACCGTTCCTGTAACATGTCTCTGCCTCTCTCCATGCAGGTAGCCGGGAGGCAGCGTTTGTTTACGCCATCTCATCAGCAGGAGTGGTTCACGCTATCACTCGGGCCTGTAGCCAGGGTGAGCTGAGTGTGTGCAGCTGTGACCCATACACCCGCGGTCGGCACCATGACCAGCGAGGGGACTTTGACTGGGGTGGCTGTAGTGACAACATCCACTATGGTGTCCGCTTTGCCAAGGCTTTTGTGGATGCCAAAGAGAAGAGGCTTAAGGATGCCCGGGCCCTCATGAACCTGCATAACAACCGCTGTGGGCGCACGGTCAGTACTCCCATCTGGGTATGTATGTTCATATTCTCTGGGGTCAACCAGCTAGCGTGACCGTGGGCTGGAATCAGAGGTGGAAGAGTTGATGGCCTCTGGATTGCATCCAAAATCCCTAACGTTCTGTCATAGAATGCAGGAAGCCAGGTTTTCCTAAGACAGGAAAGGAACTTTCTCTTTGCCCCCTCTCATTCCCTCCTCGCCTTTCTCCTTCCCTTTCCGTTTCCTTCCTTTTTGTTTTCTTTTGGTTTTTTTTGGGGGGGGGGCGGGGGGGTGTTGTTTCTTTCTTTGTTTTTGAGACAGGGTCTATGTAGCTTTGGCTGCCCTGGAACTCAATATATAGATCAGGCTGGCTTTGAACTCACACAGATCTACCTGCCTCTACCTCTTTAGTGCTGGGATTAAAAGTGTGTACTACCATGCCCCACCTTGCTTTATTTTGCTTGAGACAGGGTTTCACTCTGCCTATAGTCTAGGTGGATCTTAAATTCTTCTGTCTCAACCTCCTGAGCACTGGGATTATATGTGCGTGCCACCAAGCTGAACAAAAAAGAAAATTTTCAATTTTTAAAAATGTGATTTGTCTGATTGTGCGTACACATGTGTATACGAGGATGTACATGTCTGTGCTTTCTCACAGAGACTAAAGGACGTCAGATGTCCTACTTGGTCACTCTCTTCCTTATTCCCTTGAGGCAGGGTCTCTCACTGAACCTGGAACTCAAGTTCCAGCAATCTTCCTAACTCCAATCCTTCTGTTTCTGTCCCCCAACCCCCATCACTGGGACTACAGGTAGTGCATGTGCTGCCAAGCCTGGCTTTTTACATGGGTTGTAAAGAGTTACACCCAGATTCTTTTTGGTGGGGGAGGGGTTTCGAGACAGGGTTTCTCTGTAGCTTTGGAGCCTGTCTTAGAAGTTGCTCTATAGATCAGGCTGGCCTCGAACTCACAGAGATCCGCCTGCCTCTGCCTCCTGAGTGCTACGCCACCACTGCCCAGCTTTAAACCCAGGCTCTTATGGGGACAGTAAGAGTTCCTACATGCCGAGCCATTTCCCAAGCCCCAAAGTAGCTTTTAATTTTTTAAATTTTAATTTATTTATTATTGTTCTGTGTGTATGCATGATGTATATAGGTGGACATGAATACCATGGTACATGTGTGGAGGTCAGAGGACAACTTTGTGGAGCTGACTCCCACCTTTCACTTATATGTGGGTTCTGGGGAACAAACTCAGGTTGCCAGGACAGCATGGCAAGTGCCTTTTCTCGCTACCAGCATCACTGGCCCAAAAGTAGTTTGTTTTTAGAGGAAAACCTTCCTTCATAAAGACCTTCAGGTATTGCTTTAGGCTATTCACTGGTGTTTGAACACCTGCTATATAGCAGAAGGCATAGCACTGGGCTCTTTAAAAGGATGTGTAGGTTGTAATCAGGAGCAGAATCCTGTGGCTTGACAATCCAGCAGGCAGTCATCCAGGAAGATATCCTAGAAGTCAGAGAAGGGGTGGGATCCGGCAGAGGGCCAGCAGAGCTCAGAACACTCCTGCCTTCGACCCTAGGGATGACTGAGCAGTGTCCTGACCTGCTTCCTCCCTCCCCCAGGCTGTGCGGCGCTTTCTGAAGCTGGAATGTAAGTGTCACGGTGTGAGCGGCTCCTGCACGCTACGCACCTGCTGGAGGGCACTCTCAGACTTCCGCCGCACTGGTGACTACCTGAGGAGGCGGTATGATGGGGCCGTGCAGGTGACCGCCACCCAGGATGGCGCCAATTTCACAGCAGCCCGCCAAGGCTATCGCCATGCCACCCGGACTGATCTTGTCTACTTCGACAACTCCCCTGACTACTGTGTCCTGGACAAGGCTGCAGGTGAGAAAGCAGCAAGCAGAGAGAGATGTGGAAGCTGGTGATTAGTGCCAGCGCTTCTGCTTAACCTGGGTCTGTCTGGTTTGCAGGAGTTAAGGAAGGGAAGCAATCTGGTCACGAGATAGGTGGTTTGCACCTCAGGCTGCCAGGCCCAAGGTTACACAGACAGGTCCTGAGCCGCCCTGACACATCCCCAGGGTCTGGGGTGCTACTTGGAGAGCATTTAAATGAGCCACCTGTTTTCAGTTCTGAGCAAGGAGAGCTACACAGAAGCATCAGCTGTAGCACTAAGCCACTGGCTTTTTACGATCTAGCTGAAGAAATAAGATGGAGCTGGGGATGGAGCTCAGCTGATACAGCATGTGCTTAGTGTGTGCAAGGTCCTGGGTTTGACACCCCCTACTACCAAAAAAAAAAAAAAAAGCAACATAGTAAGCAAATGTACTACAAAGAAAGATGACCAGCTGGACGATGGTGGCCATACCTTTAACCCCAGCACTCTGAGGGCAGAGGCAGGTGAATATCTAAGTTTGAGGGCAACCTGATCTACAGACAGGACTACATAGAGAAACTGTCTCAAGAGCCCCCTGCCCCCAAAAGGAAGATGACCAATGCAGTCAAGGAAGGTTTGTTTGAACATGGGGAATCAAGCTGCTTCTTGATGTGCTGCCACTGCAGATTCCAGAAGCAGTGAGGAAGACTGGAGGTGTCCTCTGCAAAGGCTGCTGAAACAGCAAGCACTTAGTAACAAGCTTTACGACCCTTTTCCGCCTGATCTATGTATGTGCGATGCTGGGAAAGGGACCTTGAGAACAGTGCAAAGTGACGAGGTGTTTCTGTGAGAGAATGGAAGCTCCCATCTTGGCTCATGATTTCTGGTCGAGATAAGTTAAACTAGGGACAGTGTGTGGCTCACTGGAGCTGCTTCTCTCCTGGTCCCTGTCACTGGGCTCCCAGCTCTTTGTTGGAGAGTCACTAGTCAAGATTCGGTAGCCACCCACCTTGGCTGGCTTTACTCTCATCATTTCAGCCCACAGAGGGGGCGGTGCTCCACTGGATAGTGGAAGGTACATGTGCAGTTTGTAGTACTAGAAGTCAAAAGGGTTGAGGAGGCCCTCTGGCCTCTCCTAGAAACATACTGTCATGAGTTAGTTTTTTTCATGTGTTCTAACTCAGAGGGTTAATCTCTGGATGCCTGGGAGTAATTCCACAGCGCCTGAAGTGTAGACCTGTTTCACATCTCTGAAGTGGACCCTCGGAGAAGGATCTTTGGAGTTAGGAGGGAGGACGAGTCATATGTATATGAATTTTTCTCAGAGGCAAGAAATTAGGTCCCATAAACCCAAAGAATCCAAATGGTGTAAGCCACCCCAGGAGTACAGAACCAGGTATTTCCTCCACAGCAGTTCTATCCAACTAAACTTCGTGCAATGATCGAATCTCCATTGCTGCTTCTCCACAGCCACATGTGATAACTGAGCAAGTGACTACCTGAAAGTGCTTAGCCCTTCTGTGCGCCATGCTTCTTCTGAGGCAGACGTACCCGTGGTGGAGTTGAGCTGGTAGATTAGGGGTGGCACAGGATAAGCGACAAGGACAAATAATAAGATAGCAGACCCATTTTCTGGCGGTGCTGTTGATCTAACCCAGGACCTTGCGATATGCTGGGCAAGGGCTCTACCACTGAGTCACAGACAAGATAATTTTAATAACATAGCATGATAAAATATTTACAGGTTTGAATCATTTGTCTTTGGATTTTCCATTTAATACTTTTGGAACTACAGTTGATGTTGGGTAACAAACTACAGAGACTAAAGCCGTGAACAAGTGTGACAGACTACTGCAGAGTTAGTCCAGTTCAAAACTGGAATTTTAATTTACTGATTTAAGAGAGCAGATGCAGTTAGTAGCTGCGGTACTGGATAGCATAGCTCCACACTGCAGAAGAGGATTTCGGTGTTTAAAACCCAGTCCTTGGAGTCAGAATAACATATGAAGTAGACCTAGTCAGCCCAAAGTCTAGTTTGCTAACGTTTTGGATTAGTTATTCCTGTTGTTAAAAAAAAAAAAAAAATGGAGGGACTGGAGAGTGGCTAAGAGTGCTTGCTACTCCTGTAGAAGATCTGAGTTCAGTCCCCAGAGCCCATGTTAGACTGCTCAGAACTGCCTGTAACCCCAGCTCCTGGTGATTGATGCCCTCCTCTGGCCTCTGAGGGCATCCACACACAAGTGTGCATACACACAGACAAAGATATATACACACATAAGTAAATAAAATAAATCTTAAAAAGTAAAACTGAGGGCTGGAAAGACAGCTCAGCAGGTAAAGGTGCTTCTGCAAACCCTGTTAACCTGAGTTTGACACCCCCAGGAGCTATAATATAGAAGGAGAGAACCAACATGGCTTCTGCATGTATGCTGTGGCCCATGCATGCCCATAACTTACTTACTTAATACATACATATAAAAATTTTAAAGGAGAAAACTGAGCATGTTCTTAGACACTCCACTCATGCTGTTGCATGCTATCTGTGTTTTTCTTGATGTCATCATTGTTATGATGCCGGGATCCAGTGCAGGGTCTTGCAAATGCTAGGCAAGTACTTACCACTGAACTATACTCCTCGCCCTAAAACAGAGATTTTAAACCAATAAGCCAAAGCACAAAGATAAAAGTTCTGCATTTTCCCCTCATATCCTAGTGGAATATGGAGACTATTGTTGTTGAAGTTAGTTGATCCATTTTCTTTCTTGAAGTCTCAGGCCAGTCACTTTTCCACTTACAGGTCCCTGTTACTGGGTAAAGGGTTATAGGATCTTTGGTGCTGACATCTATTGGAATGAGGTCCTGAGCATTCCTTGTGTAAGGAGCTTTCTTACTCTTTAGGGATCCCTTCTGAAAGGGGCACAACACAGGAACTCTTAGAGATACGCCTCTAGCCAGTCACGGCAACCGGTCCACCTCTGCTGGACAACAGTGAACTGCAGCATAACAACATATTACATCAGATGTTGAGTCGTTTTGTTTCCCTGAGACAGGATCATGCGATACATTCCAATTTGGCCTCCAATTCACTACATATCCCAGGCTAGCCTGAAAGTGACTCCCCTGCCTCAGTGTTTTCCATGATGGTGTTAAAGGCATGTGCTACCAGACCTGCTAGTATATATACTTTCATATATGGAAACTGAGGCCCAGACACATCTATTAACTTGCTAAATAACTACAGCTATGAAGTGGCACAACTAGAATTGAAATCCAGATGCCATCACAACCCCCACAAAATGAGAGACGCTCACCCAGACTCACAGTTTTTACATTTTCAAGTTAGGCTCTGAAGAGGACATGGCAGTGTGCATTGGTAATAAAGGGACCACACGTGAAACCGGCAACCTCTGGGAAGCTTTAATGGTGGAAACAAATGAGCCTGGGCCAGAGGACAATGAATGATCATTTTGGTTAGTGGGTACATTTTCAGAAAGAGAGATTGTTTATGTCTTCCTAAGAGTATAAGGATACCCATGGTGGCTAAAACAGAAGTAATTTGGTTCTCACCTCTCTTCCCCAACTCAGGTTCCCTAGGTACCGCAGGCCGCGTCTGCAGCAAGACCTCTAAAGGAACAGATGGTTGTGAAATCATGTGTTGTGGCCGAGGATACGACACAACTCGGGTCACCCGCGTCACCCAGTGCGAGTGCAAATTCCACTGGTGTTGTGCTGTGCGGTGCAAAGAGTGCAGGAACACTGTGGACGTCCACACCTGCAAGGCTCCTAAGAAGGCAGAGTGGCTGGACCAGACCTGAACACACAGATACCTCCTTCATCCCTCCACTTCAAGCCTCCAACTCAAAAGCACAAGATTTTTGCATGCACACCTTCCTCCACCCTCAATCCTGGGCTGCTACAGCTTCTGTTATGGACTTGGAGAGTGATCCAGGGGGACCCCAATGTCCTGGCTGGTTCCTTAGCCCTAGGGAGGAGTTGCTAGGGGATGGATATGAGAGTGAGTGGCTCCCTGCTATTCCACCTGGAGGTTTGGAGGGAGAGTAGAAGAGGTAGGAGCTCTCTTCAGAGTGATCTGAGTTGCACTAAAGTCAAGGCTCATTGTCCCCTTTGCTTGCACTGACTTCTGATACTCTTTGGGTATGCAACAGGAAGGGAATCTGGAGGTGGCTTCCTTTTTGATCCTACTGTAGCCAAGGACATAGGACAGAGATAAAACTGCCTGTCCCTTCACAGGACACAGTCTGTGCAGACAATCTTAGGCTATAGTATTCTGCTGAGACCCTGACATAGCTAGATGTGTCAGCCATGGTGAACAAGGCTTCACCTCATGCTCTTATACAGCTTATAAACCAGTGGTTTTGTGAGGGGAGAAATCACACAACTGTACACATGCACATTCTCTGTGTCTCCTTTTTCACCTACATCAGTCAGCCGCAGCCTGCTCACTGGCTGCTTGTTAGAGTGAGGTAGCTTGCAGTGGTTCCAAGTCTTAATAGACCATTAGAGCCCTGGAACAGAACTGTGAGAGAATAGTATGTTAAGCCTAGCTAGGCCTTTGGACTCCCCCCGCCCCAATCCATTATTCTGGACATTATGTAGGTTTGAAAAAGACTAAGTGAAAGGCAGGCAACTCATGGGAGAGTGTAAGCAAACCTGATCTCAAGGGCTGCATGAGGATCAGTGTAGACCAGGAAGCTGGCGAGCTCTCATTTCGGCAGTTCTTTAGGAGAGGACCTTCAGCACTGACGCAGGAGCAAAAGCATGTCGCTATGTAGAGAATGAGTTGGTGTTGGAGCCAAAGTGGTAGACACCTTAGAAGACAGTAGCCTTCCCCTATTTACTCAGCAAGTCTTTATTTTGTGATTCTTCAAGTCCTACTGATAACTACTGCCCATCCATGATGGACTTAAGCAGGGGAGGTTCCCTCTATGCTACTAGTCTAACTAGAGTATGCAGTAGTGGAATCTTCAAAGACAGCAGGCATGGAAAGCTAGAATATGGATATGGGCTTTGAAATCTTGATGGCCTAGTTTTGTATGACTACACAGTGATCATCTTGCCTACTGATAAACAGCAATATTATAGAAATCTGCAGTCTGACGGACCGAGGTTCGATGCCAGTTATTTACGCACTCACTGTGTTTTTTATTTTCAGCAGGCTCTTTCAATCCTCCGGGCCCGTTTTTTTATCTGTAAAATGAGGATGCATGCCTCGCTCAGATATTGAGATTTAACAGCCAACAGATATACTTCATCAAACCTCTGACTGATCAAGTACATCCTAACTTCTCTAGGAACTTCTAATTTAGGGCTGTCTGGTCTTGACAACAGACTGGAGATTAAGGAGCTTTCGCAGGGAATTCTGGATATAGGGCCTTGCTCTTTCCCTCCGGTCCCTCTTTATCCAGTCGGGCTCTCAGATGTTTGTGGAGCAACTTCATTCTGCCCAGGCAGCAGGAGGTTGTGGGGGGCGGGGGGTGACTCTGGCCACGGAGGCAGATTTATTTGGATGATAGGACTAATATTTGTGTAACCTGCTGAGACCTGTGTGGGAGAGTTTAGGGTGGTTTTTCTTTTGGTGAGGGGATTTGCTCCGGTTTCACATCCATTAACACAAAACATGAGCTGGTCAGGGCCCTTGTGGTCTGTGGTGAGGGGATGGCTGTGAAGAAATGGGACTGAATGAGTCAGGCAGAGAGAATGTCGTCCTTGCAGAGTAGAGTCAACCGGATAACTGATGAGCTGGTGGTGGGATTAGGGAGGGGGAATGGGAGGGGAAGAGGAACTTCTCTTAAAAGGGGGGAAGCTTTGGGAGCAGGGGTGAAGACATGCAAGTTACTACATCAGTGATGGCATAGGCCTTCTACAGGAACCCAGCCTAAGTTCAATCTACTTGTGCTGTATCACCTACCCTTTGACTCGGGGTTCTTAGTTTATGGAAAGAAGTGGTAGTCCTCTGTGATAGTTCATATCACTCCATGTTTCTCCCCGCACTCCCAATTCTAGCTGATAAAGATACACAACCACTTATAAATGGTTGAGAGAGAAATAGCTGTTCAGGGAGTGAGAAGTTTGTAAAGTGAGGTGTTTATATGAGATAAAAGATGTCTATCTGAGCCCTGCTACAGAAGCTGTGTGGCCCCAAGAAGGAATGATGGCCAAGCAATTAATTTTTCCTTAGAACTTAGCTTGTCTCTGCATTCCAATTGGCTTTAGACAACTGGCGTTGATTCTACACTATACAAACAGAAACTGATTTATTTGGAACAAGCAAAAAAACAAGAACTTTTCTTGGTGCTGGGGTTCCACATAGCTCTGCTCCGCCCTCATCCGTTCTGAAGGCACCCTCCCACCTATTCTCCATGGTAGAAGTGTGTCCTCCACCAGCAGTGTCTCCACCTATTCTCAATGGTAGAAGTCTGTCCTCCACCAGCAATATCTTAACCTCTCCCCCTTTCCCTTTCCCTCCTGTTGGTCCTCATTTCTTTTATCTTTTGATAAACATTTAGTACAGTGCATTTCAGTAAGTGCTATTTGGATATAAAGTGAACTTAAAAGATACTGTTTCTATCTTTTAGGGATAATAGGATCTTTGGGGGAAGGCACGTGACTGAAGATCCTCAGCTGCACAGCCTGCAGCCAGTTTCTTTTAACTAGAAGAGCTGGGGTGATAGCTCACACCTGTAATCCTGACACTCTGGGAGGCTGATGCAGGAAAACTGCTGTGTCTGTGATCAGGCTTTGTTACACTGTGAGCTCCATGCCAACCTAAGAACGAAGGAAGACCCTGTCTCAAACAAACAAAACCCAGTAAGAAGGCCCTCCACAGCCCCCAACAAAGCACTGGAGAAAAGAACCAAATCATATTGATTTCAGCTCTAAAACAAAGCATTACTTCACACTCTCAAATAGAGTAAATGTAAATCAGGGACTTGAGATTAGAAGAAGAAAACACTATCCTGACGGTCTGTTTGCTACAAGCTTTGTAGATCTAATTTTCGAACACTCTCAGCCTCGTTTCTCTTTCTCTTTGCTGCAGGAGACTATTCTTCCCTTATCAAGAACACCAACCACCAAGCCCCTTGCCAAATTCTTAGACCCCACTCAGGACATAAGTTTCTGCATGGCTTAATAGAAGACAGATAATCAGGATTTCCCACCCCCACCCCCGCCTTTCTAAACTTTTTATTTAAATGCTCTCAGTGGTCATAGGGCAGAAGCCCAAGCTGGCTGGGGATAAGGGAGGCCGCCAGGGAGAGTATGTTTCTCATCCCTGGGAGGCATTCAGCCTAGCTCCTGCAGCCAAATTACAGCAGCAGAGAACAATGCAGTGCATTCCTGGGCAGGTCGGTGGGCCCTGGGCGCCTGGGTCTGGTGGAGCGAGGTGCCAGACACAGAGCGCTCCGTAAGCAACCCTGCAGAGCTGGCCCTGGGTGCAGAAATGAAATACAGAGAGCCTCACATTACACACCTGGTTATTGATGGCCTTACTGGAGGCCTCTGCCCCCACCTTCCGCTTGGGAACTGCCTGTACTGCGGGGGTTGGGCATCTTTGAAGCAATGCTGGAAAATAAGAAAGACGCGTTTCCTTTTTACTCTTTGCCCTTCCTGTCAGCCTGAGCACAACCATGAGGACACATATATACATACGCACACGCAGAAGGTGCACGCAAAACGAGTTCACACAGCTTTTCTCAGGTTGTGTGGGAATTACAATAGTCTCATCTCTCCAACAATTAAAAACCAGCATCTAGATCCCCCCAAAATCATACCAACAACAGGGTCAGCTACAAGCAAGGAATGTTTCAAAACTACATTATCAACATGCAATGCAATGTTTGTTTTGGGAATTGGTACTCTCCCGGGAGGTGGTGGAGGAAGGACACAGAAAGGGCACGGAGAAAAGAGATCAAGGGTGGAGAATTACCACCCAAGCAGAGCGGCTGAGGCGGTGCAACTTCTCAAACCTGGTTTGCACGGAGGAGAGGGAGGAGTGCATCCTCTGTGTCCTGACTGGCCAGCCTCCTGTGACTGCTCTGAAGTCACACATAGACACTGAGCTTGGTGTTTATGATCTGTTGCTGTTTTAAACTTACCGGGCTAGAAAACAGGATACCTTTGGTTCCAGGAATGATCTCTGTAAGAGAGGTGTCTGAAGAGCAGGAGCAGTGGGTTTACTGGAGTAAATATGTCATGGTTGCAGATTGAACTAAGCTTTCTCAGAGTTAGTTTTCTTTTTGGATGACTGACAGGTTTCACAGGTAGTATACCTGACCCTAACCCCAAAGTTAAAAGGATAGAGGGGTCTGAAAACTACTTCCCCCACTTCCACGCATAGCCTGGATTACCTCTGAGCATCACTGTGGCTATCTACATAAGATGCTGTGGTCATCCAGGATTTAAAAATGCAAGATGGACATTCTCTGCTTTGCTCCCTGACGTTGAAGTACCTTTTCTTTGTTCACTTAGAGTAGCAGGACACAGGAGTTCTTTAACCAAAGAAGGCAAAAAAATCTGATAACATTTTGTCAGTACTACTATCCTGTAAGCAGTCAAGCCTGCGGTCTCATCCTTTGACAAATTCCAAAGTGGGGCTTCCCCAAGAATAACAATAATGCTCACAAAAGTCTTCTGTGCACAAAATGCTTGGGCATGTATGTATAGATCTCACAATCACTCCAGAGGTTGCAAGGTGGGGATTACTCTATTTTATGGAGTCATTCAGAGAGGTTCAATGAATGATCCAGCCAAAACACAAACCTAGTTTGTTTGTTTATTTATTTATTTATTTATTTTTTCTTCTCGAGACAGAGTCTCTCTCTGTAGTCCTGGCTATCCTAGAATGGTTTGTAGAGCAGGCTGGCCTTGAACTCGCAGAGACCCACCCTTCAAATGCTAGGATTAAAAGCGTGCACCACTATAACTAGTTTTTGTTTGCTTATTTGTTTTTAGCTTCAAATACTACATACTCTCCTCAAAGTCTGAGGATGCTGGGCCTGGGGGTGTCAGCTTACCAGCACTTCAGAACAGCCCCAACCCATACAGGAATCCTCCACTGCCAGCAGAGTATCTGAGCAGAGTTTGTAAAGGCTAGGACTACCTTCCCATAACCTCGTAGCCATCGTCCGTTCCCACTGTTACCATCACTACCCAGGAGTCACTCTACAAAGGACCCTGTATCTCAACAGCTTTTGCTTGTCATTCCCTGAGGCCCCACTCCTCCATCCCCCAGATTAACATTAAAATTGTTCTTTTATTTTCTCTAAGTTCGTTTACAGTGGTGCTCAATGCATAGGCAGAGTCAGAGTAATCATGAGAAGAAATGAGTAGACTCTGGGCTTGTATTGGAATTGTCTTTGAGACTTCATTATTTTTAAGAATCACTACCACCCAGCAGTGGTGGTGCACACCTTTAATCCCAGCTCTCAGGAGGCAGAGGCAGGCAGATCTCTGTGAGTTCAAGGCCAGCCTGGTCTACAAAGGGAGTTCTAGGACAGCCATGGTGGTTATACAGAGAAACCCTGTCTCGAGAATCAAACAAACATAAAAGAACCACTACTAACTCCTTGGTGGAAAAGCTAAGATACTATCCCATCCAAGCCCACCTAAGAAACAGTATAAACCCCTGGACCACTGAGACAGGCATTTCATCTACCAGTACCAGCTGTGTCTAACTTTGACAATACAATACAAAGTCTTCACTCAAGAACTGTGCAGTCAAGGGTTTTTTTGTTGTTGTTGTTTTTGTTGTTTTTGTTTTTTAAAATCACAAAACCCCTCATGTTTTAAGTAAGCTTATAATTTTGAGTTGGGCTGCATTTAGTTATTCTTTGCTATGTGCAGATACATGTGGCTTCCGGGCTGTTGTCTGGATACACCTAAGACAAAGGATATCTATGATGCAGAGAAAAATCTCTAAGATGAGGCAGTCAACAAATTTCATTTGACCAAAAGTGTGCTTTTCTCAGTTCCTCCTTCCGCCCTTACTCAAAATGGGGGCCTCAATTTAATTGAAGACAGAAGAAGAGGTAGCTAGCTCAGCTGGTCCCTCCTGGTCCCACATTGGCACACACTTGGTTAGAGATAGGGTAAGCCCTCCAATACCCTATGTATCCCACTGGTATACCCCAACCGGGAAGTCAGAAAGGAGGCTGCAGAAACACAGTGTTCATCAATCATGGGCTGGGACATTACAGCTCTCTGACCTGGGCCCCTGCTTGAGCTGGGGAAAGAACACCTACCTATAGTCAGGATTCCTTCTGCAGCAAACCTTGGTTTTTGGTCCATCCATCTTGGCTCTCACTGCTCTCCTGCCTTCCACCCCCCAACTGCCTCCACATGTGGGCTCAGAAGTCATCATCTGAAGAATTCCACTGCTCACCTCCTGCATAGCAGCACAGCCCCTTGAGGCCGCACACCAGATGGAGGGGATAAAAGTACGAGGTCGTGGCTTCTACAAGAGGTTTTTCTTAAACTAACCCTGACTCCTGGAAAAGAGTCAGAGCAGGGGTATGTCTGCTGAGCTGCTGACAACAGCAGCTTCATAGATCTTGTGTAAAAAGAAAGGAAAATTCTAAGTTGGCTTTCAGTGGAACCTTCCCTACTTCTGTCTGTGGGTCTATTACTGGTCTCATGTGTGTAGTGTGAAGGTGTCTGAGAAGAATGCAAAAGTGGACAAATCAAAGGGCTAATATTTCCTGATCATACGACCTGCATGCTGACATGGAGGCCGAGCCCTCAACAGATCCCTTGTTTCTCTAGGATACATCTGTAAAGTACAAGGAAAGGGAATGAATGTGCACTAGGACATTGAAAAGCCCATCACCTGTGGGCCTTCAAAGGTTTGCATGGAATAAAAAAGGCAGAGGGGTTAGAGAATGATCATCATTGTTAGCATCATGTTGTTGGGTAACAACATGCAGAAACAATTACAAAGAGACAAACAGTTAAGAGACTGGGAAACAAGTCTTAGATGAAAGAAAACGTGAAGGAAATTCATTAGAGATGGTTTTCCATAGGGCTGGAATGTTATAAGATAAGGCATGAACAATGGAAGGTAGTCAGAGGAAGGCAGTCTATATTGAAGGGACTGGTGTATGCTGAAGCTTACAAGCAAGAATGTGCGAGCAATATATGAGGAATTTCAAGCAAGTATATACTATATACATTGGGGAATACAGAGAAATCAGAATGCTGAGGCTGGAGCTTTATTATGAGGTGATTGTGTCAAAAGGTTCAGCGTCTCATAAGAGCTGCACAAAAGCTATGGCAGTGAACTCGGGGCATCTCTGGGAGAGCACTGGGATGAGTTCATTTGATAGAGGGACTCAAAGATAGGTGTTTGTGAAAGCCACAAAAATGTTATGCATCACTAACTACAGATCCTTATCATTTGAAATTCTGGGTTAATTAAATGATATTAAATATCCAGAGCTATGATATACATTAATGTAGTTTTAGGCCCCAAACCTGACATCAATCAAGTCAAATGCATAAGAAATGAGAATGGGAAAAGGAAATAATTTAAAATAGAAAATACATTTCTTCCCCTCACTCTAAACCTTAAAACTTGACTCTCATATTTCATTCGGTATACTGGATTTTTGTGGCCACAAATTTATCATATGTGAGGGCACAGTGGACAGAGGGAAACTTCTAAAGAACTTTAGAGACCCACAAAACATGTTGACTGATAAATGAGAAGACAGTTCTAACTACAGGGCACTGGACCAACAGCTAAAGGTGGACAATTCTGAGCCCATGCGGATCTTGCAGTTGGTCAGGTAAAAACGGCAGTTTAGCAGGTCATACTTGACCTACAAGGACAAAGAGCACAAGGGCAATCCTGCTCCTCTATTTGCTTTCCTGATGCCACTTTCAAAGCCAGCATAAACACTGGTTATGCGCTGGACCCAGTGTGATGCTGAGTACATGTATTTTAATGCTCCTTGAATAAGCCCAAAGGTAAGCAGTATCTTAACTTTCTGCTCTACCTCGCTGGCATGAGTGGGTGCTGGAAGGGAGGCGGCGACTCTACAGCGATAACGTTGGTCAGTGTCATCTCAGCTGTAATCCCTCCTCTCCTAGGCAGTTTATTAAAGGTGATTTCTGAAACCCTTCACAAAAGGAAAGCCCAGGGGTTTACATTCAATTGTGACACCACTATGAATTCATTAAGCAGCTTGTTTCAGGTTGCACTATAATTTCCCCATGTAATGTAAACCCATGGAATCTGACATAAGCTGGTTGCTCGTGCTGGTTATTTTATTTACATTTCTGAATGGAGGGGATTTCAATACTCATAAAATATCTAACTGTCTTATTTTTCATCTCTTCTCCCAGGGCAGCTATTATAAAATAGGCCTAGCGACAGAAGCCTCAACTTGCATGACTGGTTAAGCAACATGGGAAAAGTTATTGCTCAAAAAGCAATTTTAAAAAATTTAATATGGAATTTGAGGCTGAGACAGAGATATGGTTACTCTTAATGCCATCCAGAAGATAAAAGTTCAGGGAAAAGGCTAAATAACCATGTTCCTTATCTTTGTTCCAATTCTGTGAGAGTGGGGAGTAGCTTTACAGAGTTCAAAGGGCTGGAGTTAAGTCTTCCTAGAGACCGAATGCTAGCAGACACAGTCAGTAGTGTCATAGGAATGCAGGCGAATGATGGTTGGGAATGGGCTCCCTACCACACAGTCAGATGGGTGTGCCTTCTTCCCACCCTGTCACCAATTAGACTCTGCATTAGAAGCTGCCGTTATGCACCGAACTTTCTATCTGGAAATGGACATTCTGTTAACCTATGCAGAGAGGGACCACTTCTGCTTACTTCAGTAGGTTTGGCAAGCTTAGAGAGATTGCCAGAGAAATAACAGTCACCAGGGAATTCCAAAGCCTCCATCTGCTACCTTCAAGTCATGACTCACATGATCCGATACCCTTTTATCTGCTACAGCACTGAGTTAATTAGCTTACTCTTCAACGCTCTAGTACAGTTTTCAGGCCTGCTCTTCTACTCCACAAACATCATCATTTAGCCAGTTTCCTTTTTCACTGACACCTGACTTGTATAAACTCAGTAGGCACAGGCTCTGTGTCGAGTTTAATATGTATATAGTAATTCTAGTACTCAGAAGGCTGAGGTAAGGAGGACTGGGATTTGAGGTCAGCCTGGCCTACACAGTGAGACCCTGTTTCAAAACATGAACACCCTAAGGTCATAACCTGAGGGATCTATTTAGTGCATGTTAGTCGACTGGGGCAGCACAGTAAAGACAATATTAGGAGCTGGAGAGATGATGGTTCAGAAGTTAAGAGCACTGGCTGCTCTTCCAGAGGACCTGGGTTCAATTTCCAGCACCCACAGGCAGCTCACAGTTGTAACTCCAGTTCCAGGGAAATCTGGCATCCTCATGCAGACACACATGCAGGCAAAACACCAATGGACATAAAATGCAAATAAAAATTAAAAACAAACTATTTTCGCTGGGTGGTGGCAGCGCACGCCTTTAATCCTAGCACTCAGGAGGCAGAGGCAGGTGATCTCTGTGAGTTAGAGGCCAGCCTGGTCTACAGAGCAAGTTCCAGGACAGGCTCCAAAGCTACACAGAGAAACTCTGTCTCAAAAGAACTATTTTCACTTAGTTGCAAAGCAAACAATCTTGGAGGTCCCCCTAGAAAGACAGACTTGCGAAGGATTCAGAATTGAACAACACTCAGCTTGGAAGAGGGCACAACAGGAACTTACTGCTGCATCCCAGTGTCCTTCTGTCTGGTTTTTAAAATGTGCATGGCACATGCCTATGGGTAG